AAAAAAAAAAAAAATGTTGCAAGAGGCAGAAAAAAATCATTAGATATTGATAAAAAGCATCAATTAATCAAGAAGATATAATACTTATAAACATATGCACCAAACAAGAGACCTGACATATGTGGAGCACACATTGACTGAATTGAAGGGACAAACAGACAGTTCTACAAAATAGTTCATGAATTCAATATCTCACTTTCAGTAATGGATAACACATCTAGACAGAAGACCAATAGGGAAATAGAGGATTTGACTAACACTATAAATTGACTGGAACTAACAGACATATATAGAACATTTCACTCAATAACACTGCAATACACATTATTCTCAAGGGTATATGGAACATTCTCCAGGAAAACCATGTTGGGCCACAAAAGTAGTTCTCAATAAATTTTATTTTATTTTTTTATTTATTTAAAAAAAATTTAACGTTTATTTATTTTTGAAACAGAGAGAGACAAAGCATGAACGGGGGAGGGGCAGAGAGAGAGGGAGACACAGAACCGGAAGCAGGCTCCAGGCTCCGAGCCATCAGCCCAGAGCCCGACGCGGGGCTCGAACTCACAGACCGCGAGATCGTGACCTGAGCTGAAGTCGGACGCTTAACCGACTGAGCCACCCAGGCGCCCCTCTCAATAAATTTTAAAAGATTGAAATCATACCAAGTATCTTCTCTTGACCACAATGGAGTGAAACTAGAAATCCATAACAGAAGTAAACTGAAAAACACACAAATATGTGGAAAATGAACAACACACAGTTAAACAACCTATTGGTCAAAGAATGAATCATGAGGACGATTTAAATAATACATTTAGACTATTGAAAACAAAAACATAGCATACCAAAACTTGTGGGACACAGCAAGCAAAAGCAGTGCTCAGAGGAAAATATATTTATTAGTCAAAAGGTATAGGAAAATCAAAATCACAATGACATGCCACTTCACACCCACTACAATGGCTGTAATTTTTTAAAAAGTGTTGGTGAAGATGTGGAGAAATTGGAACTCTTGTACACTGCTGGTGGGAATGTAAAATGTTTCCACTGCTGTGGAGAATGGTTTGATGGTTCCTAACAAAATTAAACACGGAAGTGCCATATGACCCAGCTACTCGACTCCTAGGTATATACACAAAAGAATTGAAAACAGGTGCTCAAAAAATGCCTGTACATGAATGCTCATGCCAGCTTTATTCACAATATTCAGAAGGTTGAAACAACCCATATGTTCATCAAGAGATGAGTGGATAAACAAATGGTGGTATATACACACACTGGAATATTATTCACCCAGAAAGAGGAATGAAGTACTGAAATAGGCTTCAATGTGAATGCACTCTGAAAACATTATGCTAAGTGAATGAAGCTGTACACAAAAACTCACATATAGTATGATTCCATTTATGTGAAATATCCGGAAGAGAAAATACATAGAGATAGAAAGCAGATTGTTTTCCTGGGGCTGAGGAAGAGGAAGAAATGGGAATAACTGCCTAAACTGTATGAGGTTTCATTTTGGGGTAATGAAGATACTTTGGAGCCAGATAGAGGTGGTTTTTTTGCACAGCGTTTTAAATGTACTAAACACCAATGGATTGTTCACTTTAAAATGATTAATTTTATGTTTGTGAATTTCACCTCAATTAAATAAAAGGCATCACTACAAATTCCACAAAACCTGAAAGGATAAGAAGTATTATAAACAAATCCATGTCAATAAATTTGACAGCTAATCTGAAATGCATACAAAGTGTGTCAGCATTATGATTCCCTTTATATAAAACCGTGTGTACATATGCTTATGTGTGTGTGCATTTATGAGTAAATTGTTCCAAATGATTCTGTAGAATGGCTAGGCCAATTTACAAGCTCAGAAACAACGTATGAGAGTAACTGTTGCCCTCCCCATTTCAAAAACAATCTTACAACTCATACCTTTCGCCTCAGTGTTTACATGTCCAAAAACTTGTCCTGAAGGACAGTTTGCACACAGACATGTATATGAGGAGGCAAACAGCAGGAATAGAATTTGCCCAGGATCATGGGACCAAGGGAATTGAGGGAATTGGCAGAAGAATGAGTGACTGGAAGACTGGGACATCTGAGATGGCTAGAGAAGGAGACCAAGAATGTGGAAGCCTGATGATGTAGACAGAGGAAGTAGAGGGGCCATGGGATGGGTTCCATGGTCCCTGCCCATGAGGGAACTCAGACAGCTTGGAGAGCCTAATTTGAGCCAGATACTGCAACTGCTCGCTAACACGTGAGAGTGCCTCTCTTCCTCATGATGTGGCAGGGAGGTGTGCACTGTGGTCACTGTCTTTGCACTTCTTGCCCTTGATCATTGAGGCATTACATGGAATAACATGGAATCACTCCTTATGTAATAGCAGTTATTCCCTTAGTTCATACTTCCAAGAAATTCACACACCACTATATGGATTCCTCGTGTAAATGTACATGAAGAACTGAAAAGTAGCAAGTGGTAGGAAATAACTTATGTGAGACCTTATAATAGAGGCATAATTTGTAAACTGGTGGTACCTCACCTGTGTCATCACTTATAGGATGGCAACTTGAAATCTGGTACTGTTATTATACTATTATACTGTTATTCATGTACCACCATTATTTTAATTTCAAAAATTTCAAATGTGCCTGCTGGTGGTCTAAAGTTCCAAACGTTACAGAAGTGTGGAAAATAAATTGCACAAGTGTCCCTTTCAACTCTTGCCTGCGATTCTGTACTTCTAATTGCCAGTCATTGGGAAAGGTCTCACAGGACTGGCCATAACGTGAAACTGGGTGCTATTGTTGTCTACCTGGAAGCGAAACTAAATGCCTGAACCCCACCCCACCCCAAGCTCGTGGACACAGAGCACCCTTGTCAGCGGTCTGAGAAATGCACTGGGCAGGCAGGCTGACTCTCCCTCACTCTCAGGTGCTAAAATGAGATTCCTTCCACAGTGCACCGTCAGAAAGGGGGAGGAGGAAGTAGAGTGGATGGCTGAGAAGACAAATGCAAGCATGGTGAGAGGTTTGAAAAGGCCCATTTCCCATTCATCTGTGTGCAAGTCATAAAACTGTTGATGGTGTGCCTTTGAATGCATTCAAATGATCAGGAATAAGAAGTAAAATAGATGAGTCCTCATCTTCCTTCCTTCCACAGCCCTCACTAGCCAGTAGGCAACCCTTGCAAAGCCCCTGTTGTTCCAGGTCACATGGCTGCTTTTGCATACCTCCAGGTAGAGCATCTGACTGAGCCACACTGTTTCCAAAGGCCAATCCCTGAAAGCAGTGTGTGTCCCTTTTCATCAGAATTTATTGACACACTACCTATGAAGTCAAGCCTGGTGTACTGTCAGGGGACTGCCAGTGTGAATAATGTGGAGGAGACGGCAGGGCCTCTCAGTCCTGGACCCATTGCCTCATGGTCAGGGCAGGGGAAGAGCGATCCAGGACACACATCATACAACGTGCAGCATCATTCTTTATTATGAAGATAAACAGCAATCATGAGTGGGGGAAATACACAGAACAACTAATACTTCAGGTGGTTATGTTACCTGGCCTGCTAGCCAAAGGTAACTTTGGCTTCTTGGTCAGCCTGGCCTCCATCCCCAGTCATGGGCATGGCCTCAGGCTGGATAAAAGACAACCAAGATGATGTGGACATCCAAGGCTTCTTCTAGGCGATTTGTTTGAAGGCCTCCTCTGGGACCTTGCCCTCGTTCTGGAGGGAAGGAGTTGGGATGTCAGAAGAACCAGATCACAGAGTTTCATTCCCAGACCACCCAGCCTCCACCTTCCTGGCCTTCCTGAAGTCCCAGAAGCACCCATCTGTAACCCACTTAATGGATCCCAGACCTCACCTTGAGCATAGTGAAGACCTGACCAGCTCTGGTGTAGTTCCACTCGTTGTCCTGAAGGCACCTGGAGTGGGAGGATGATGACTTCCATTAGTACCACAGTACAGAGACGCTGACCATGTGACGCTAAATATATGCCACCTTTTTGCTGGTATTCATGTACCACCAGTATGAGCACTATGTGTAATGATGAAGAAAGACCTAGGGAAAATGTCTATCACATCTGACACAAAATGTCATGCCCATTAGACTTCAAAACAGAAAATTGGAGTTCTCCAAAAGAACACAGGAACTTAAGATATTTTGATAAAGAAAAACATTCAAGAACACAGGAGCTTAATATACATTGATAAAGAAAAACATTCAAGAGGATAGATGGAAATTTTAAAAGTACAAGTTTCCAATCATTTTTATCGAACTATAATGCACATACCATTTTGTTATTATTATTTTTATGCACATACCATTTTTAAAATTGTTTTAATGTTTATTTTTGAGAGAGAGACAGAGCACGAGCAGGGGAGGGACAGAGAGAGAAGGAGACACAGAATCGGAAGTAGGCTCCAGGCTCTGAGCTGTCAGCACAGAGCCCCATGTGGGACTCCAACCCACGAACCGTGAGATCATGAACTGAGCCGAAGTTGGGCTCTCAACTGACTGAGCCACCCAGGCGCCCCGGTGCACATAACATTTTAAAGCGTGCATTTCGGTGTTTTCTTAGTATATCCACAAGATTGCTCAACCATCACCACTATCTAATTCCCAAATAATTTTATCACCTCAAAAAGAAACTCCCTAGACATTAGACATGACTCGCTATTCCTCCCCTTTCCCCAGGCCTTGGAAACCACTAATCTGCTTTTGGACCCTGTAGATTTGCCTATGCTGGACATTTCATATAGATGGAATCACACACTATGTGACCATTTGATGCTTGCTTCTTTCACTTAGCATAATGTTTTCAAGGTTCATCCATGTCATGGCATATATCAGAACTGTATTCTTTTTTATGACTGAATAATATTCTACCATATGGACATACCAGATTTATTTTTCCATTCATCAACTAAAGGACATTTGGGTTGTTTCTGCCTTTTGGCTATAATGAACAATGCTGCTATGAACATTCCCATACAAGTTTTAGAGTGAACATATGTTTTCACTTCTCCTGGTAGATCCTTAGGAGTGGAATTGATGGGTCATACGGTAACTCCATATTTAACATTTTGGGGAACTGTCAAAATGTTTTCCCCAACCACTGCTCCATTTTTCATTCTCACAAAGAAATACATGAGAACTCCAATTGCTGCACATCCTCACTGACACTTGTTATCACTCGATTATTGATTAAAGCCATTCTAGTGGGTGTGAAGTAGTAACTCACTGTTTTTTTTTAATTTAATTTTTTTATTTTTTAAAATTTACATCCAAATCAGTTAGCATATAGTGCAACAATGACGTCAGGAGTAGATTCCTTAGGGCCCCTTACCCATTTAGCCCATCCCCCCTCACACAACCCCTCCCGTAACCCACAGTTTGTTCTCCATATTTATGAGT